ATTGAGGCTGGAGTTTTACATGCTACACAGCTCCACAATAATCTTGTATTTTACTCGATCCGTGCACCTCTCTCTTACTACTAGTGACAGCCATATTAAATAAACAATATTCCCGCTCTTACTCATTGGAGCATACCATGTTTTTATAACATAAACTCTTGTCTCACAATATGATTCATACATGAGATTTAAGAACAAGCGTCAAATGGATAAACACATTAAAAAGAGGACGGATAAATCAAAACATCTGCACAAACATTTTCATAAATTAGCTAAAATTAGCGCTTTTCTTAAGTGCACACTATTACCACGCCCACTCAGGTCAGAAAATACATAAATATTATAATGCACCAGAAACAATAAGAACACAGTAAAAACAGTGATGGAAGACAACTTTAATGTCTTTCTATCACACACTAATCAGTTGTTCCACAGAAGAAAAGAGATGGAACAACAATAGCAGCTAAATATAGCTGCAAGTAGCAATTAACCCCTTAACTGTCACCCCCCATTTTTTTTAAACAGGCATGAAAGTGCACTATCCAAACTTAAATTGTTGTAATTTATGAACACTTTGGAATACAGACCTAAGGTTGGTAAATCAGAATTTTTTTTTCAAAACATTAAAGTATCAAAAAGTTATAGAAGTTTACATTTACTGTAAATAAAATGCACTATATTAATTTTATTTTATTTATAATAAATATTATAGTATATATAAATAATAAGTATAAAATTAAATCCTTATGTCTAAACAAGTTATGTTCCAAATTTAAAGTTGATATGAAAAAAATTGAGGTTCCTATGAGATTTTATTTAGGGCGTTATACCACAAACAGCCACACGGAATGCAATTCAAACTCCATTGAATATTTTTAATGCATTTTTCTGTCACAAATGTCTAGATTTCTCTGTCAATATTACTTCTATCTCAAAATAACCACCATATATGGAATCCAAAGATATGTATTTTGTCAAGATTATACAAAGTTTTGATTGTAAAATATTATTCTCAGAGGTAAACATGTTATTATGAATCTCAGTGTAAACGAGTGTATGTTGTGCTGTGTACGTAATACATTTTGTAATATGACACTTGACACCGCCCACTAAGGGGGAGGAGACCGGCAAAATATTTTAAAGTACCATTTCCATAGTAACACACTGTCCGATTTCAAAATGGTTTTCACAGGATGAATCTTGGGCTTCTAAGCTTTCAAATGATATATAATTTATGATGATTACTAAAAGATTTGATGGAGAAAAAGGACGACAACAAAAAAGAGCGCCAAGCGTCCTACAGGTGGGACAGTTGGGGCAAAGCCTCTCCAGGAGCAGGGATGGAGACCCCTGTTAAAATCATTAGTTGATACAGCATTTTACTACAAAACTCAAAACGGCCAATACCCAAAAAAAAGCAGATATAAGAAAATCAGAAATTGTTCGAATCGGTATGCTGTTCCGAATCTAACGAGACAAATCTTATGATTTTGGGCCAAACCGGTCAGAAGTTTTAAAGGGGTCATATGATGCAGTTTCAAAGAGAAATGTCCACTGAGTGGTGCTCAAACACTGGTTCAATACGTGAACCCTGGCGCATTTTTATTACGATAGTGTTATTACGATACGATAGTGTTAACAAGTGCAAAACTGATATAAAAATGCATTTGTTGATGCAACCGTGCCATTTGAACTTTTGATTTTTTGTTGAACCGTAGTTACACGGGATTCGAATCGGAGCTCCTCGCCTCTCAAGTACGTCTCCGTACTCCGTGAGCTACCGAACAAACCTACCGTGTATGAAAACCCATAGATATGAAACTGGATATGTGTGATGCTAACATTCAAAAGCATCAGTTTTCAAATCTCCCAGCATATTAAAATTGTTTTGAAGTAATTGTGCGAAAATTACGCTTTATTATTCGAAACTCTATAAATTTGTGTGAAAAGGAATAAAAGGTGTCGGAGTTCTACTGCCTCTAGTGTTCATTTATTTTGGAAACTGCAGTGGTATATACTTATTGGTACGTATTCTGCGTCTTGCGAAAAAGTGCCCCCAGGTACGTTTTTGCCATGAGACCGGGTAGAGTTTTTGCCATGCTTAGAGTTGGTCTCCATCAGCAATGTGCAAATTTGCCAAACTGAGCATAATCTTACCGTACTAAACACCCCAGCGGTACAGGTTTAAGAGAAATGTATGCCGGAATACAGAATACTGCAATAGAAGATATAACTGGTTGTTTTTAAATATTAATGTAACTTTTAAAAAAAATGCTGATGGAATAGCATAGTCACCTGTTATCAGTAAATTGGTATTTTTCCCATCCACAAACTGTTACTAGATAAACCTCTGATTGACTGATTTGACTTCACTCTGGTTTGGCGTCATTTCAATAATGCATCACCAAATCAAAGTCAGACGCATACTGAGACAGATAGATCTTCAAAGTGTTTATCTGATGGAGTCTACATATTAAAAGGAGGAAAGATTTGTATGCGTCAACAAGCAAATAGCTGGCAAAAAACTGCAGTTTAAAAGTCTGGGGTCGTGAGATTTTTGAAAGAAGTCTCTCATGCTCACCAAGGCTGCATTCATTTGTTCAAATATATAGTAAAAACAGTAATATTATGAAATATTATTACAATTCAAAACAACTTTGTTCTATTTAAATATATATTAAATGTAATTTATACCAGTGATACAAAGCTGCATTTTCAGCAGCCATTAGTTCAGAGTCAAATGATCCTTCAGAAATCACTGTAATATGCTGATTTGCTGCTCAAGAAACATTTATGATTATTATCACAATTAATACTTCTGTGCTGCTTAAAATTTCTTTTTTGACACATTTCCTTTGATGAATAGAACATTTTACAGAACAGAATTTGTTTGAATGATACTTTTTAAATAAATAAACAAACAATGTCACTATTGTTATTTTTGAAAGTTATTTATTTAAAGTTATTTGCTTTTACATTAGCCCATCATGTATCAAACCATAAGAGCACATTCGGCGTTAAGAGCTGGAAAGATTGCCCAAACAACTCCGCAGTGAGTCAATGTCATGGACGTAAGGGCAGAGCAAGTTTAAATATCTTTCTAGTCTATATTTCCATCTTGTAATTCCGCTGTTTTGGGTATTTTTTAAATATAAATGATTTATAATAGAGCAGAGACTGACTGTTGTTCATGTATTTATGTTCTCATTTAGCGAGACAGCAGACACTGAAAACTCTGCGCACTTCAGTATGTGTGTAGTAAACGAAACCGCGCGTCTGTGCCATTCATTCATAAAGAGGCAGGATTCATATTTAAATGGTATTTTTGCAGCTTAATATTTACAGATACCAGTCAATATTGCAATTTGATTTAAGTGTAATGACCTACTTTTGATTTATTCACCCAAACTTTGACAAATTCCGTGACATTCCGCGTTATACAGTAAATTCTGTTTTTATGACTGGATTCCGCAATTCCATCTGCGTTTTCCGCATCGCAGAAATCATAGGGCCATAATTAAAATGGGTTCTATTGTCTTTTGTCGCGTCGCACCACAACGCTCGCGTCCAGTGTAGACACGGTGTGAGTTTTTTTAATGGCTTAGTTTTAGCCCTGCTTGTTTTTAATGTTTTTATTAAATATCTGTATTGATCATATCATCATTATTTACTGCCATCTGCCATGCGAGCCACACATTAAAGCTTGGCGAGCCGCGCAATGAGTAACACTGATCTACACTATGCAAGTCTGGTCAGACGTCAATGGTTTTAGTGCAATTACAGATTCCAGGAAAGTTTTTCAAATGTGTACGAGAAAAATTGTACAACAAGGAAATCAATTTTAAAGGTACTTGTGCATTCCATTTTTTTGAGCATAGAGCTTTAGACTGTCCAGGTGTCAAACAGAAGTTGATTTATCCTGGCAAAAACCAGAATGTGTAAGCAAATTTCATATCAAAAGATGACTAGTAGGATTGGTCAAAATGTTGTAAAGCAAGAGAGCTTGTTCAAATTATTAAGCCTCGGTAACAGTAATAGTGGGGTCTTAACACAAATGAGTGCTAATCTTAAAGCAAGGTTTGTTAAATTTTCATCACAATATATCCCTCTTTTCTCATAAGAGTGTATCCACAATGAAGCAGAACAAATGAACTCATACATGGGAAAGCTCAATACTAGGCTTGCAAACATGGGCATGTCCATTAGGTGTGTTTCTGGAGCATTTGCCATGACGTTCTTGCTGCGCAGTGTAAAATTGAAATGTGAACACAAACCTACAGTCGGCTCCATCAAATTAAAGCAGGCCACAAACTGAGTCTCACAATCCAACAGCACGTTCCCCATCCGCACACACTCTCCATTTTCCAGCATTCCTGTCAGCATGACCGCACTGCATTTCCCAGAAGTCAGCAGGTAGCGAGACCCACGGCGGGCCACGACTCCGAGCGCCCCAATCCAAACTACTGGAGCAGAATTATGTGTCGTCCACTAACACACACTTCCAGCAGCGCTAATGGAGTGTAGGTCAGCAGGTGTGTGAGAACACCGGAAGCATGAGAATGGAGAAAAATAACAGCGCAGAGACGGACACAGGAGATTCGCTCTCATTCACGCCTGAGTGAAGCAACAGATTAAGTAGCAGCACACAGCACACAGGGCACAAAAGCCAAAGAAAGAAGCGTCTTTTTCTTTCTTCTTCCCCCAGAACATAAATAAATCTGAGATGGCGAACGCTGGGACCGAGAGATGGAGTGATATCTGCACAAAAGGTCAGCCACAGGAAGTGGACGTGGAGAAAGTACAAGGGAAATGGAAGACAAAGTGTCAGTGGATAATTGTCATCCATGATGGCTGTTCAGATCAAAAGTAAGTACCCCACAACTCTGACAGGAGAAAATGGCCACCTTTGTTCCTCGTTCTGATCTGGTCATACGCCTCCCTCTAGGCTGGAAAAGGTCAGTGAATGTGTGTTTCTGTGTGTGTAAAGCAACTGAACTTACAGCAGGGGTAGTTTAACAGCACTATATCGTCCAGGCCGATGTAACCCTTCCGCTCCGATGAGACTGTGGCTTCAAAAACGATCTGCAAGGAAAGAGATGAAGATGTGAGACAGGGGAGAAAACACAGGCACACAATATTTTTACAGTTTGCAGTGTTATAGAAATTGTACCTAAAAAAATTGTAGTGTGAACGAGGCATGATGTAAATGTATTTATAATCGGTTCCGCTTAGCCCGCTCCAAGCGAGGCTTGAACCAGTGACAGCCGGCATGGGAAGTCGGCATGCTAACAAGGGCACAGTCTCTAACACGCCCCTTGAAGGCAGGGAGTTTGCTAGCTGGCCTCCATTATACTCAGCCCCATAAACCTCACTCTGATCCGGATCACGGCACCAACATAACTGGTTTTACTTGCACCACTCCAAGGGATTCGAACCTGATGTTCTGTTAAGGTGCGTCACATTTAAGGTGCGTTGCAAGGCAAAATTTCATAAGCAAAATCCAATGATTTCAATAGGAATCCACATGAGGGTGAAAAAGGTCCCCATGCAGATTTCTCACATGTTCAAGTGTCCAAAAGAAAGATGCTTGGTTTGAAAGTTACTTCTATGTTTCGGAGTGTTAAATCATCATCATTACATTGCTTGATAATGTAACCAACACCAGACCAAAAGTTTTATAACATGAACAATTAAATAAAATTGTAGTGAATATATATGTTACATATATATATATATATATATATATACTGTATATACACACACATATATAGAAATGCACAAAACAAAATGCATACGGGACAGTTTAAATTTGTCCACTGGCTGATTAGTTTTTTTTTATTTTAAGAAGATTTTTTTTCTTTGTCTGGATGGATGGGTACATTAAAAAAATAATAAAATAAAATAAATAAAATAAAATAACATTTTGACCAGTGGGATTTATATTCTTGATATTGAACTTTTGGTATCGGTATTGTTGAAAACATATTTATACTATACTCACCTAGCATCATTAGTACAACAGCTTTTTTATAATTACTATAGTAGCACACCCCTGTGATCGTAATTAAGCCAGATGTTCCCACACCAGAATTATAATCACTACAGTTGTCTTTTGCATTGAAGCATGTGTGTGTTTTTTCTTTTCAATTTGTTGCTTTTTCATTTATTCTTGGTATGAACAGGCATCTCGTGTGAGTGTACCCAAAGGTATTTCCCATGCCACCTCTTGCTTCAAGCAGATACATTATTCTTTGCTCTCTCAATAAACAATACAATCTTGGCTAACGCAACTACATAATTGATCACTTACATGCAATTCTGCCTACCCACAAGGTAGCGTTTGCTCATGTAAAACGTTATGCGGGTGTTCGCTGAGCTAAAGGCATCATGATTCAGCACAACTTTCGCCCTGCTTTGACCTACTGATGAATTCGACTCAAGACTTGCACTCTGCTGAGAATACAGATCTTGCTCTCTAGTGGCCAATTACACTGCAAGTACTCCACCTCACTCATCCGTTTACACAACCTTTAGCCATTCTGCTAACAAAGGGAAGACTGCCTCCCCGGCTGTTTCATTGTTGGACAGGCACAGATTGCTGATAGATGTCCTACCGCTCTGAATCAAACAACAAATGAGCTGGCAGCACTAACAGCCAGCCAATCAAAGCCGAGCTGCAGCGAGCAAAGAGACCTGATGGTGCAGCAGGGTTTCTGTGCACGCTGTCCTTATCTCCACAAACATATTTAGCCATGTTTGCTAAAGCAAGCACAACTATTACTGTCGCTCATGTTCAGAGTTTTGAACGAGCCATTAACCTCTTTAAGTATTAAAATTCAGGCCGTAAGAATTGCTCACAGCGACCACATAGTACCTGGTAAACCAATCAAATTGTGGCAGTGACGTACATGCAAGCATTACTCGCATTTATTTAAGATGAAATGTAAAAATTCAGTTTCATATTTGCTTCTGTGTAAGACATGGAGCAGATTAGCTGCTGATTCAGGTCTGTATTGTTTGGTCGTCTTTACGCCCCAAACCCTGTCTGGTTAAGATTTGACACATCAGTCACAGAGAGGGAATGCCAGAGCGGAAGAATCTCATTTGGGGAGGGGGAGTGATAGACAGGAAAACAAAGAGAGACATGTTAGCTTGGATAGACTTTCTCCAGAGGGCACCTCGGCCCAGGAAGGAAAAGGGGTTAGTGTTTCGGGCCATTGTGCACATCCCTGATATATGTACAGTATGTGTGAAAGATGTGTGCACAAAACATTAGATGAAACAGAAGGGCTGGTAGCATTGTTAATATTTGATAAAGGCTCCTTGTCATCTCCAACACCTACAGCACTGACAGCAGCACAATACACATCAGACGGAGAAAGGTGGATTTTCAAAGCTGCACAGTGTCTCACAGTGCCTGGCATCCATTTATCTCATTGCTCTTATTTCCTCTATTCAACCCACCCAAATGTCTGGAGCATCAACATGATAGAGATCAAAATACTGCAGACAGGAAACAATTGCTGGTTGGCATACAAGCGGAAGCATCTCATTTACACCAGTAGGACGCTGCTGCATACCGTCTACCGATGCATTTTATCAGGGCAAGCTCAGGAGCGCAAATGCAAATAACAGAAAAAGTCCTTTTCATGTCTTACAAAAGCCTTGGAAAGCCAAGGAATGTTGACAATGACATTCAGGTCTCGCACAAACCCCTGGTGAATCTCCGAGAGGCACTCGACATGAATTGGACCACACGCGCTTTTAAAACCCTGTCAGGAAACAAAACCAGAAAAGATCTCAGTAAAGATTCAGTGAACGTTTGGACATGGGACGTTTGGGGGACCTTACTCACGTATCTGTTGACAATCATGCTAAAACATATACAGTTGGTGTTTCGATGACTCAAATCTGCGGGGGGACTTCAGTCTGTCTTAATGATTTGCTGTGTCCATTAGCAAGGCATGTTATAAAACATGTCTGGTTTCTTGGCTTATTGAGCTGGATCATGAATGGGAAGCTACTGAAGGGACACATTAACAAACATATACTGTATGCAAAGACTGCGCCCCACAGTGACTCCATCCAGGGTACTGTGGTTGAGCTTTTATAAAGGGTTTACCATGATTTGATTGAACATTTGATTTGATTTATATGAGCAGCTGTGCTCAAGCGGACCGAAGATAAATGATCATCTACTGGCCAAGTGTTTGGAAAAAAGTCAAAGACATTCCTAAGCTCATTACAACATTGTTACAAAACCCACTGAATATTCACATTCTTTCCTTGTATTCTCTGTTGTTATCCTTGTGTTTTTTTCTCTCTGTTGGTCTTTTCGATTTCAAATAGTCAAATAAATGTAGCCTTGGTGAGCAGGAAAAAATTATTTCAAAAACATTTTAAAATCTTGTATAATTATATATTATAAAGTATGATGGCTTTTAAGATTACATAAGTGTGACCTTGAAATAACATGAAAATCTAACAAAACGTTCCTTTCCAGATTTTCCTTTCAAGTCGTAATCTTGTCACAGACTCATTCATGGTCTTGGACAAGCTTGCAATGTGATTTTTCCCTCATGTGTGAGTCGCTTTTTAAAAAGCATCTGCTTAATGAACAAAACTTAGCATTAAGTTTCAGTGAGGCAAAAGAAGGTAAAATGAAGGATAAATTGAAATTCACAGTATTTAAACAAGTTTAGGGTATTAGGGTAAATTTAGGGTAAACGTCATATTATGCGACTATGCATAACTTTACAGAGAGCTTACGAACTTATAGCTATGTCCTGCCTTACAAACAACTGGTGCAACCAAATAATGTATAGATTTAGTTACAAACTAATAGTAGTAACTAGGGCTGTCAAAAAAAAATTAATTTCGAATATTCGTCAAATTTAAAATAAAAATCCACATTTGAATGCAAAAACGTTGCAGTCAAATTTTAGGTGTGCGTTAAGGAGGAAGCCTTATCAGTGGCGCACAAGATGCAATGACGATGTAAGTGTCATTGCATTTTAATGTTTTTGTTAGCCTATCCAGTTGAAGCCACTAGAACTAGTTGAAGCCGCTGCTGCATTGTTAATTACAAATATTGCGGGAAAAGAGAACATCAATGCGGAGAAGATCTTGTTTATGTCAAAACTGAAACCAAGCCATTCACACAGAACGCATATTTCGCGCATTTTCTAGAGGGACATCTATCAGTGTTGCACTCGCATCTCGCACAAAAGAGCCGCATGTTTAGAAAGCCATGTAAAATTAATGCAAGTTTAACTTTGAAAAAACATATCTTGAGACTTTATGGCGGGTTTTTTCCACATCCCACTGCAACTCATGTTTTTAAATGAAAAATGTACTCTGCGTGATTGGCTTTCGGTCCTTTGTATTAAAATATGAATACATAGGCCTACATGATGCTGTTTTGTTTATAGTTGTTTAAGCAACTTAATTATAATTGGTTTATAAACATTATTTTTTACAGATAGCCATGTTATCTTATGCTTTGAATAAACGTGCATTAGTAATATTTGCTCGATGCACCCTCTCGTGGCCTCAGGAGAGAAGCCAAAAGCTTTTTTTCACCCTAACTGAAATTATGCATTTTAAATTTGAATATAATTAGAATTTTGATAACATTTAAGTACAAAATTAGAATTGGTTTTCAGCCGTTTTGACAGCCCTATTAGTTACTAAGCCTCTAGTGTGGACTTAACGTCCTAATTTAAGTACACTCTAAAAAATGCTGGGTTAAATGCAACCCAGTGCTGGGTGAAATAGGGACAAACTGAGCAATTGGGCTCTTTTGACCCAGCGGTTGGGTTAAATGTTTAACTCATTTTAATGTGTTAAATGTTTAACCCAACCTTCTGGGTAGTAACCCAACCGCTGGGTCAAAACAACCCAATTTTTTAGAGTGTAAGAAATTACGAATGGCTGGTGCGACCCTACCCTGAATTCTAAACTAAACACTTAACAGTAGAATATGTTTTGCTGGCGGTCATGGAATTTAGAGATGAGGGCTGTTCTTCACACAGATACTAATTTTGCAGACTACTCTATTCACATGCTTCTGTGACTCATGA